CTTTCACTATAGCTGCTCAAAAGACTTATATGGGCGATTTCCCGAACACAGATTAATTCCAGTCATGGACAAAAAAACATGCATTTTAGTCCAGGACTAGGCTTAATTTGACTGGGAGACCGGCCCATTGTGTTGGTTTGTTGGCCTAACGTATCATTCCTATCCTCTATCCCAGTTAGATGTGTGGATGGAGCCCACTGACCTCTCCACTCCTGTGGACATCAGAGTTCCCTTCACCAGCCTGCAAACCGTCAAGGCCTTCCTGGAGACCGAGGACATTGAGTACGTCATCATGATCAAGGACCTGCAGGTAGGACTGCTTTCTGAGTCAGGGAGAAAGTGAATGATGTCAGGGTGATTACTTCAGTCTTACTTCGTCTTGGCTGATCTTGAAATGTGTAAATCCATGTCATGAATTACAGTAAATAAATAAGATGGTTGAATAAGCCTTGTAGTGACCCTTGACCTCCCTTTTGCCCACAGGTTATACTGGACGAGGAGAATGAGCAGATGCTGAGTGCTGCCCGTGTCACTGCCCCCAGAACCAGCGACGACTATGACTACTCCAACTACCACACCATTGCCGACGTAAGTTCTGTATCCCAAAACGCATGCAGCAAGGAGAAATGGGACAGCCCATTTCACATGACCACTCTGAGCAGCACACGTTCAGGCAGACACTACTGAGACTGTTATCATAAGATCCACATACAGTGGGGGAAAAAAGTATTTAGTCAGCCACCAATTGTGCAAGTTCTCCCACTTAAAAAGATGAGAGAGGCCTGTAATTTTCATCATAGGTACACGTCAACTATGACAGACAAATTGAGGAAAAAAAATCCAGAAAATCCCATTGTAGGATTTTTTATGAATTTATTTGCAAATTATGGTGGAAAATAAGTATTTGGTCACCTACAAACAAGCAAGATTTCTGGCTCTCACAGACCTGTAACTTCTTCTTTCAGAGGCTCCTCTGTCCTCCACTCGTTACCTGTATTAATGGCACCTGTTTGAACTTGTTATCAGTATAAAATACACCTGTCCACAACCTCAAACAGTCACACTCCAAACTTCACAATGGCCAAGACCAAAGAGCTGTCAAAGGACACCAAAAACAAAATTGTAGACCTGCACCAGGCTGGGAAGACTGAATCTGCAATAGGTAAGCAGCTTGGTTTGAAGAAATCAACTGTGGGAGCAATTATTAGGAAATGGAAGACATACAAGACCACTGATAATCTCCCTCGATCTGGGGCTCCACGCAAGATCTCACCCCGTGGGGTCAAAATGATCACAAGAACGGTGAGCAAAAATCCCAGAACCACACGGGGGGACCTAGTGAATGACCTGCAGAGAGCTGGGACCAAAGTAACAAAGCCAACCATCAGTAACACACTACGCCGCCAGGGACTCAAATCCTGCAGTGCGAGACGTGTCCCCCTGCTTAAGCCAGTACATGTCCAGGCCCGTCTGAAGTGCATTTGGATGATCCAGAAGAGGATTGGGAGAATGTCATATGGTCAGATGAAACCAAAATTTAACTTTTTGGTAAAAACTCAACTCGTCATGTTTGGAGGACAAAGAATGCTGAGTTGCATCCAAAGAACACCATACCTACTGTGAAGCATGGGGTTGGAAACATCATGCTTTGGGGCTGTTTTTCTGCAAAGGGACCAGGACGACTGATCCGTGTAAAGGAAATAATGAATGGGGCCATGTATCGTGAGATTTTGAGTGAAACCCTCCTTCCATCAGCAAGGGCATTGAAGATGAAACGTGGCTGGGTCTTTCAGCATGACAATGATTCCAAACACACCGCCCGGGCAACGAAGGAGTGGCTTCGTAAGAAGCATTTCAAGGTCCTGGAGTGGCCTAGCCAGTCTCCAGATCACAACCCCATAGAAAATCTTTGTAGGGAGTTGAAAGTCTGTGTTGCCCAGCGACAGCCCCAAAACATCACTGCTCTAGAGGAGATCTGCATGGAGGAATGGGCCAAAATACCAGCAACAGTGTGTGAAAACCTTGTGAAGACTTACAGAAAACGTTTGACCTGTGTCATTGCCAACAAAGGGTATATAACAAAGTATTGAGAAACTTTTGTAATTGACCAAATACTTATTTTCCACCATCATATGCCAATAAATTCATTAAAAATCCTACAATGTGATTTTCTGGAATTTTTTTTCTCATTTTGTCTGTCATAGTTGACGTGTACCTATGATGAAAATTACAGGCCTCTCTCATCTTTTTAAGTGGGAGAACTTGCACAATTGGTGGCTGACTAAATACTTTTTTTCCCCACTGTAAGAGTGACATAAATGTGACATGGTCTGACATGACACCTACAGTATTGTTTAAGTTGACTGTAACAACTCTCTCTTTCTCTCTCTCTCTCTCTCTCTCTCTCTCTCTCTCTCTCTCCAGATCTACGCTTTCCAGGACATGCTGGTGGCTGAGAACCCCAATCTGGTCAGCAAGATCGTGATTGGCCAGAGCTACCAGGGACGCCCCCTGAATGTGCTCAAGGTAAGTTCCTGACCACAGTGGGCGTGTTTTATCTACTATGGCCTTGTCATGTTTCTAACTAGTACTCTTTACAAGTGAAATATACATCCTGGATGAACCACCATTTTTTGGTACATGTTAAATGCTTGGTTATATGTTACATTTCTTTCAAGTTTACAGTATTTGAGGATTGTAGTATATGTTCTTTACACCCCCCTCCTTCTCTCTTTTCTAGTTCAGCACTGGTGGAACCAACAAACCTGGTATCTGGTTTGACACTGGAATCCACTCCAGGGAATGGGTCACTCAGGCTAGCGGTACCTGGTTCGCCAAGAAGGTGCATCAGTGCAATCTCCCTGACAGTCTTTAAACCTTTCCCATCTCTTCATCTATGCATATGTTCACCAAACCACTGTCTCACTCTCACTGTTACTCACTATGTATGGTGGTCATGATTTAAGATTTCTGATATAATTTTTCTGTTTCAATATCCAGATTGTGACCGACTACGGACGTGACGCAGCCCTCACCGCCATCCTGGACAAGATGGATATCTTCCTGGAGATTGTGACCAACCCAGACGGCTACTACTACACCCACACTAGCGTGAGTCGCTCACAACAGAACATATGCCATTAACGGTACATTTTAGTTTAATGTGACCCCTATGAATACTAAATGTTACATCATGTTATATCGCTCCACCTCTTTGATTATTAACATGTTACACATATGTGTGTGATCTGAATCTCTTATACATATGTAGGATCTTAATTTGAGCCAGTTTGCTACAGCAGGAAAATAATCCTGCAGCAACAGGAAATGTGAATTATTATGTGGATTATAATTAATGGACATTTTTGTAGGGGTTGATAAATTTTCGCAAACTAAAATCAAGTCTGAAATTTCAAAGTGGAAATTAGAAACTTCAGAAGCCTTTTCAAACCTCACATACACTACACATTTTAGATTTCCTGCATTGCAGGAAAGTTCTCCTGCAACAGGGTGATCAAATTAAGATCCTACATCTAGATCGAATATCAACTATCTAATCTCACTTTCACAAGTCTCAGTGTTGTATCCTGTTTTGACTTCGCTCTGACATCATCAACTGCTGCTTACAGCTATGCACTAGACCAAACCAAACAAACCATTTGTCACGACAAAGACCTTTCATGTTCCACAGAACCGTATGTGGCGTAAGACCAGGAAGCCCAACCCTGGCTCTTCCTGCATTGGAACTGACCCCAACAGAAACTGGGATGCTGGTTTTGGAGGTATATTTTCCTTGTCATTTTGATGTTGCAAATCACTTTTATATTCAAATACAGTAGATTCCGATGTCACAAACTCAATAAGAAACCAAATTTGATTTTTTTGGTCAAATAAAATGTATCTTCTTGCACCTGGTGAGATAGTATTTTGCATTGTTCTTTTTTTGTCTGCCACTAATGTTTTATATCCTTTTGTCTATCTCCTCTGTTGTCTTTGGTAGGTCCCGGTGCCAGTAACAGCCCCTGCTCTGAGACTTACCGCGGACCCAAGGCTCACTCTGAGTCTGAGGTCAAGTCCATCGTGGACTTTGTCAAGTCTCACGGCAACCTGAAGGCCTTCGTGTCCATCCATTCCTACTCCCAGATGCTCCTCTACCCCTACGGTTACACCACGACCCCCTGCAAGGACCAGAGCGAACTGGTGAGTCCAGCATCCATCAACTAGTTGTCTTTGACATGTCTGGTAACAACTTGTGGTATCCGTGCCTATAGGGAGCGCCCTGCCTGCATTCTCCACCACATGTGGCCTCACCAGGGGGAAGGGTGAATCCAATAGGGGACTTTAACATTCGGTTACATTTATTATATGCCCACAGCACAACCTGGCCAGGAAGGCTATCACTGATCTGGCTTCCCTGTATGGAACTTCCTACAGATTCGGAAGCATAATCAACACCATCTGTAAGTGTCAAACACCGGCTTAACCTATTTGTTGCTTTAAATGGCTCCCATCCCATGCCATTCCAATCCAATCTAGTCTACCACGATCTATCAACATGAGCACACTCCACCTGTATTATATAACCAAAGTAATTACAATATTTTTAGTTTAGGGTTATATACTCTTATATACTCTGTGACAAAACAGAAACTATTGTCAATTCCCTTTTTTCTTGTCAATTCCAGATCAGGCTAGCGGTGGTACCATTGACTGGACCTACAACCAGGGCATCAAGTACTCCTACACCTTTGAGCTGAGAGACACTGGTCGCTATGGTTTCATCCTGCCTGCCAATCAGATCCTCCCTACTGCCAAGGAGACTTGGCTGGCTCTGATGGCAATCATGGAGCATACCAAGGACAACACAAACTAGAGGGGTCACCACGACAACCTACTGGACTCTCTGTCATTGTACTGTTGTACATAGGTATATATAGGAAAAGCCTATCGGTAACATTATGTCTACCATGTCTCTTTCCAGGCCCCAAAGAGACCAATAAATGTCAACTGTTATACCTGATTTTGTCTATTTCATTTTTATACACTGCCAAGCTCTTGAGGTGATGTCAAAATGAAGCAGAGAGAAATGTTGTTATGGTTGAAGTAATCTGTCGTGGACAGACTACAAAACATAAAGTAGCTTGCATGAGATTTTTGGTTCTGGTTGCCAAGATTATGGTTCAAGGTCTCATAACATAATCAATAATCATAAAATGTTGCTCCAAAAAAAAATACTCCACAAAAAGTACATTTTAACAACCTTTTACAATTGTGAAAATAAGGATAACAATTGTATTGTTATATAATTCACCCATGCAGTAGAAAGAGCACTCCTTCTTGGTGGTTTGCTGCTTGTTACTTAATGTGGACAAAACAAAACAAAATCAGCACACTCCATATATAACAACAACATCAAGTCCCAGAGGTACAAACTGTATATGAAAAAACATATATGAAATTATATGTCAAAACTAAAAGACTTTAGTAACATAACAAAATAAGAAAATGGAAAAACATGTTGTTGTTTAAAATGGCTTCTAAATGAAAAGAGGTGCCATGTGGGTGTGGGGAATATTTATAGGGACTGATGTGGCTTCTAAAGCAGTTTTGGTGTTTCTCTGTCTTCAAGGCTTGTGGCCTAACACAGGTCTAAAGATTAGGTTAGCCACGTCATGTGGTTTAGAAGGGTAATGGGTGTGATAAACCAATTGGATCATTTCACCTGGTTTAATGTACAGGTATGGCGGTTTGAATTAGTTAGATTGTTAGATAAACTGCTAATTATCTCTGACAGATTAATGTCTTTAAAGCAGACATGCAGGACATGTGGGGCATGTACTGAACAAAAATATAAACGCAACATTAAAGTGTTGGTCCGATGTTTCATGAGCTGAAATAAAAGATCCCAGAAATGTACAATATGCACAAAAAGCTTATTTCTCTCAAATTCTATGCACAAATTAGTTTACATCACTGTTAGCGAGCATTTATATTTTTCCAAGATAATCCATACCCCTGACAGGTGTGGCATGTCAAGAAGCTGATTAAACAGAATTGTCATTACACAGGTGCACCTTGTGCTGGGGACACTCTAAAATGTGCTTTTTTGTCACACAACACAATGCCACAGATGTCTTAAGTTTGGAGGAAGCTTAAAATTGGCATGCTGACTGCAGGAATGTACACTAGAGCTGTTGTCAGAGAAATAAATGTTTATTTCTCCACCATAAGCCACCCTCAATGTCGTCTTAGAGAATTTTGGCAGTACGTCCAACTGGCCTCACAACCGCAGACCACATGTAACCACGCCAGCCCAGGACTTCCTCTTCCGGTTTCTTCACTTGCGGGATCATCTGAGACCAGCCGCCCGGAAAGCTGTTTGGAGAGCTCCTTGGTCTTCATGGTGCCGCTTGCTTGGTGGTGCCCTTTGCTTAGTGGTGTTGCAGACTCTGGAATCTTACAGAACAGGTGTATATATACTGAGATCATGTGACAGATCATGTTAAACTTAGATTGCACACAGGTGGACTTTACTTAACTAATTATGTGACTTTTGAAGGTAATTGGTTGCACCATATCTTATTTAGGGGCTTCATAGCAAAGGGGGTGAATACATATGCACCCACCACCTTTCAGTAATATATTTTTTTGAATTGTTTTAAACAAGTTATTTTTTTTATTTCACTTCACCAATTTGGACTATTTTGTGTATGTCCATTACATGAAATCCAAATAAAAATAAATTTAAATTACAGGTGGTAATGCAACAAAATAGGAAAAACACCAAGGGGGATGAATGCTTTTGCAAGGCACTGTAAACACAATCAACCTTAAACAATAGAAAACAAAATACTGTTCGATGTAAGTCATTGAGTTCACTTATACATTACATATGCTACCGGTGAAAAGTTTTAGAACATCTACTCATTCAAGGGTTTTTCAATATTTTTACTATTTTTTACATTGTAGAATAATAGTGAAGACATACAAACTTTGAAATAACACATATGGAATCATGTAGTAACCAAAAAAAGTGTTAAACAAATCAAAATATATTTTATATTTGAGATTCTTCAAATAGCCAGCGTTTGCCTTGATGACAGCTTTGCACACTCTTGGCATTCTCTCAACCAGCTTCACCTGGAATGCTTTTCCAACATTCTTGAAGGAGTTCCCACATATAATGAGCACTTGTTGGCTGCTTTTCCTTCACTCTGCAGACCGACTCATCCCAAACCATGTCAATTTGGTTGAGGTCGGGGGGTTGTGGAGGCCAGGTCATCTGATGCAGCACTCCATCACTCTCCTTCTTGGTAAAATAGCCCTTACACAGCCTGGAGGTGTGTTGTGTCATTGTCCTGTTGAAAAACAAATGATAGTCCCACTAAGCCCAAACCAGATGGGATGGCATATCGCTGCAGAATGCTGTGGTATCCATGCTGGTTAAGTGTGCCTTGAATTCTAAATAAATCACAGACAGTGTCACCAGCAAAGCACCCCCACACCATATCACCTCCTCCTCCATGCTTTACGGTGAGAACTACACATGCAGAGATCATCCGTTCACCTACACCGTGTCTCACAAAGACACGGCGGTTGGACCCCAAAAATGTTTCTTTGGTCCAAGCAAGTCTCTTCTTATTATGGGGCGGCAGGTAGCTTTGTGGGTAAGAGCGTTGTGCCAGTAACTGAAAGGTCGCTGGTTCTAATCCCTGAGCCGACTAGGTGAAAAATCTGTCGATGTGCCCTTAAGCAAGGCACTTAACCCTAATTGCTCCTGTAAGTCGCTCTGGATAAGATGGTTCTAATGTGATATTATCTTACTAGCTTAATTGGACTAGATCTACAGTTTCCAGGACATGCTGGTGGCTGAGAACCCCAACCTGGTCAGCGAGATCGTGACTGGCCAGAACTTTGAGGGCCGCCCTCTGAATGTGCTCAATGTCAGTTTTCAATACTTTTTTGGTGTTATCATGGATTTTCTTGGTACCTGTCCTAATGTTAATACACCCATTCTCGCTCTCATAGTTTAGCACTGGTGGCACCAACCGTCCTGGCATCATGGTTCGCCAAGAAGGTAATCAACTTCTAGTCTCTTTCCTTCCAGTCAGGTTGGATTTCCCCACATGCTCATTAGTCACAATGCAAACTCCAGTTTGCTGCTAAGAAAAGCAAATATAGTGTCATGAAGGCAATAGGGTCATTACAGTCTATTTGCTATGCAAAACATATTATTATTATGATTATTATTATTATTAAGGGAGTTAAGTCTTTTTGTAGTAAGTTTACCTCTCTAGGGGATTAGGCAATTCCGGTTCTGAATACCCACAGGGACGTTCCTACTCCCACAGGTTGCTGCATTGATGTCAAAAGTGGGATGGCGCCCCCATGAGGCCAGGTATTCTCTTTTCAGTATGATAACGTGCTTAAATCTTTCTGTTTCAATGACCACCAGATTATGACTGACCCCATCCTCACGGCCATTTTGGACAAGATGGACATCTTTCTGGAGATCATGGTCAACCCTGATGGTTACTACTACACCCATACTACTGTGAGTCCCTAACAGCAAAACAGTTTATTTATTATTCATAATTCATCCACTAATACTCTGTAATGGCAGCTCTGATGATTAATTAATGAATTCACTCAGAATTAATCCAAACCATTGATTATGTTATCCTTTTATGTTCCACAGAACCATATATGGCGTAAGACCAGGAAGCCCAACCCTGGCTCTTCCTGCATTGGAATTGACCCCAACAGGAACTGGGATGCTGGTATTAGAAGTAGGCTATGTTTCCTATTTGCTTCTTGAAAGTATGGAAGCCCTGAAGCCCAAGGCTCAAAAACAAAACAAAAGAAAGGTAGACTCTTGGTTGAACGACTTAGTATCTTGTTTGAACGACTTAGTATCTTGTTCAAACGACTTCGTTTCTCGTTTGAACGACTTCGTATCTCGTTTGAACGACATAGTATCTCGTTTGAACGTATAACAAAAAAAAGAGATTTTCCATCACCAACAAATCAATGAACTTCAGAGATAATAGGCTGGTTTATGCTGTGAAAACATGTTTCTATTAGCCTACCAGAATCGCCTACAGAAATAAGTTTGTGATAGGCCTTCAATTGAAAGGTTTAACTTGTTATAGCCTACAGTTCACAATAACAGGAAAAAATACATTTAATCACTGAAATAAAATTAAGAGATAGTACATTTTCTTGTTGACACTTCGTTTGTTCTTTGAAGTGTTGACTAATGGTTTACTGAAATATAAGGAAGCTATCCGATTTTCAATGGCACAGATGACAACAATCAATTTTTTTGACGATAAGGCAAAGCAACAAAAAAATGATTTGAAAGCATCCTCGAGAAGGAGCGCTTGAGAGGGAGAACCATGCGTAATGGATGGATTCAGCAGACGGGTTGCAAAATAAATCACTGCATTGCAGGGATCAACCTGCTGTGGCAGTTTTCTAGCCTCATGCAGTGGTAGTAGCAGTATAAATAATAGTAATAATAATAATAATAATAAACGACCTTAATATTCTGCCAAGGCTGACGCAGACCGATTAAGCTATTTCAAACACTTCAAGCTACCAGGAATCAAAAGCCATCTGGGCAAAAATTGGCTGAGGTCAGCACAGATTATTTGGACAATAAGATTGTTTGGAATCGTTTTTATTAGCAGGAAGAAGTTAAACTAATGTCAGAAGTGTCACAATACATAGGGCATTTTTAACAGTCAGGGCATTTGAAGTCGAGCAGAGCTCTTAATGCCTTGTGCCAAACCTGGTCTGATAGTGCAAAGAAGATTTGTCCTGCCCTTTTGGGGATTTAGATAATTAAACAGTATTTTAGGAACTGCAGATTACCTGTGGAGCTGTTTTTACACACCAATAATCTGTGTTCTCTTTTGGTGATATCGCCATTGTGCATGCCCTCGTCATAGTTTGTTCAATTACAGCCAAAACATGTTTTGTGGGGTTTGTAATGAGTCTCTTATAGAACATCTGATCATTCAGTTGCCTGAATACTTCAGTCTTATAGACATTTTTCACCGTTTATTTTTATTTTTACTAAGTCGTTCGAACAAGATACTAAGTCGTTCTAATTAGATAATTAAAAGACTCCTTTTTTTATTTTATATCTTTGCCTTGGGCTTCAGGGCTCAACACATTGTTTAAATTGCATGAGCTAACCAAACCTGGGCTCAACACATTGTTTCTATTGCATGAACTAACCAAATCTAAAAAAGTGTCATGGCAACCCGAAGGCCTTCATCGACATCCACAGCTACTCCCCTACGGCTACACTGCAACCCCCTGCAAGTCTGATAGAGATGGGCTTCCCACCTTCCCTTGACCCTTAGCCATGTCTCAGTCATTTACCTAATAATTGTATGTGAGGCAATAATGCAATTTTATAGCATCAAACAGGGTATAACTGTTGAACAGCTAAAGTTTAGTATACACAAAGACGAAGTGTTTTGTCTGTTGAACATGACCTTAAATTGTCAAAGGCTGTACAGATCTGTTGACCTTATTTTATATTTCACCCACAGCATGACCTGGCTGGCAAGGCCATCACTGACCTGGCTACCATGTATGGAACCTCCTATATATACGGCCGTCATGACCACCATATGTAAGTGTCTAACGCAGTCACTCCACGGCCACTCACTTTCATTTAGGCACTGAAAATACGTGAAAGGCTACTTCTTTAGGCCCATAACAGCCAATAACAGCCACAAGGTCTAATAAAGGAACAATGTAATGTGTTTATCATCCACTAAACCAAGCCAGTGGTGTTCTTCCACTAGACCATGCCCATTTTGTTACGTTCCCCACCAAAAATGTTGCTCAAACAGAAGGGAGAACTAACAAAGAGTCACTGACATCAACCAAAACGAAACAGGTCGGTTTTAGGAGGGGTTCTGAAAGACACTCATGGAAGTGTCCACTGAAAGTTGACTAGCAATAACAATTGGGTCCTAAAAGACATCCACCACGAGCGCCCACAAAATTTGACCACTAAGAGGCAAACAAAAGAAAAACCCACACCAAACTTCAAGGCAGGAAGCAAACCAAAAAGTTTAGCAAAACGAAAACAGTGAAGATCAGACAGGGGGAGCCAACTTGTGATGAGTGTGATGGAAAGGAGTCAGGCGCAGGAGGGTAATCACCGAATACAGAGTTTATTCCTTCGTAGACACACAAATGCGCTCAAATCGCGATCAACGAAACAGGCACAGGGGAAACTCTCATCCCTGGCAAATACACTGTGACGGATATCCAATAATACATAGGCACAGGGGAAAATCTACTCTGGCAACACAATGTTACGAGTAGCTCACCGAGCTACACTACTCTCACAAATAACAATCACCCACAAGGACAAGGGGGCAGAGGGAACACTTATACACAGAATAATTAGGGGATAGGAACCAGGTGTGTGTGATTGACAAGACAAGACAATTGTGATGATGATTGGGGCAGCAGTGGTTAGTAAGCCGGTGACGACGAACGCCGAAGCGTGCCCGAACAAGGAGGGGAGGCAGCCTCGGCCGAAGTCGTGACACAACTAAAGATGTTGACCCTCCACATATCTCAAGAAAGTTCCCTTAATCATTAGAAATGACTAATCATGGAGGTTTGAGAATATTTCAATGATAACTGTAAAGAGGAAGCAAAGCTTGTGGTTAAGGTTGACTCCAACTGTAAGTGATGGTGTAAGCAGACATTTAGCCACCGTCTTTTAGGGTAACTTTTTTCACTCCCTTTCTCAACTCCAAGCATAGTTGTTGAAAGCTGAATGGTTCTCCTATCTTTGTAGGGACCAGGTCCTTCGTATCACTGCGAGGGATGAGGTCCAGCTCACTCTTCTGAAGGACCTGTCTGAGATGGAACATCTCCAGGTGTGTGACATGATAATCACCACTGTAGAGCCTTGACCAGGTCATTTCCCTTTCACTATAGCTGCTCAAAAGACTTATATGGGCGATTTCCCGTACACAGATTAAGTCTTGTCATGGACTAAAAAGCATACATTTTAGTCCAGGACTAGGCTTTATCTGTCTGGGAGACCGGCCCATTGTGTTGGTTTGTTGGCCTAACGTATCATTCCTACCCTCTATCCCAGTTGGATGGTTGAATAAGCCTTGTAGTGACCTTTGACCTCCCTTTTGCCCACAGGTTATGCTGGACGAGGAGAATTAGCAGATGCTGAGTGCTGCCCGTGTCACTGCTTGGTTATATGTTAAATGTCTTTCAAATGTACAGGATTTGAGGATTATAGTAGATGTTCTTTACACCCCCCTCCTTCTCTCTTTTCTAGTTCAGCACTGGTGGAACCAACAAACCTGGTATCTGGTTTGACACTGGAATCCACTCCAGGGAATGGGTCACTCAGGCAAGAAGGTGCATCAGTGCTATCTCCCTGACAGTCTTTAAACCTTTCCCATCTATGCATCTGTTCACCAAACCACTGTCTTACTCTCACTGTTACTCACTATGTATGGTAGTCATGATTTAAGATTTCTGATATTATTTTTCTGTTTCAATATCCAGATTGTGACCGACTATCCAAGATGGCGAAGTAGTGCAGTCCTGTTTCTGTCGTGTGTCTGTAAATAGCCTGTAAATACCCTGTTTTTTTGTATTTTTCGTACATATTTCCCTATCAGACTTTTCATCCTTCTACAAAATATACTTTCCTGCAACCCGCCTCACTCAATGTGGAACGGATTCTATTATTGACTTACCTTTTATCTAGAATCTAGAATCTCCAGTTGAAACTAGCTAGCCAGCTAACTAGCTACTTTCTATTAGCCACAGCTAGCGGTGTTTCACCCAGATCATTGGATTTTTTCCGCGGGATTAATTTTAATCACTGGACATTGATCACCGGATATTCGGCCAGTCTGCACAGCGCGTTATCGACCCAGAACATATCAGTTTTTCTGCCGGAATCACTGATTCTCTGGACCTTTAACTCCGGATTCATCGCTACCAGCTGGCTACAACAACAACAAAACGGACGCTGTGGTCTGGCTAATCATCCCGAGCTAGGCCCATCTCCCGGCTATCTACCTCTCTATCAACCGGACGGGACCACCTAGTGTTGACACGGAGCCCCGCCGATCCTACACGACTGGTCTGCCGACGAAATCGTCTGATGTGGTTACGACGTTAACCACGAAGATTCCATCCATCTGCTAGCTCTGGCCCGTTAGCACACGTTATCCGTGGCCTCTTACTCACTAAACTGAACTAGCTACTGAACTAGCTACTTGCTATTAGCCACAGCTAGCGGTGTTGCACCCAGAATATTGGATTTTTTTTCCGCGGGATTAATTTTTAATCACTGGACATTGATCACCGGATATTCGGCCAGTCTGCACAGCGCGTTATCGACCCAGAACATATCAGTTTTTCCGCCGGAATCACTGAATTCACTGGACCTTTAACTCCGGATTCATCGCTACCAGCTGGCTACAACAAAACGGACGTAGCACACGCTAGCCGTGGCCTCTTACTCACTAGCGCTTCACCACCGGACCTTATGATATCTCAGCTATACAGCTGATATCTGCTGGACTGTTCCTTTTTACGGTACTACATCCTGTTTATGTTTAGCCTCAGCCCAAACATGGTTAGTTTATTGTTGTTTCGGTTATTTCTAATTGTACTATATCACTGTAGACCCCCCAGCCTAGCTAAACCTGCCTTAGTTAGCTCCTTTGTCCCTCCGCCCATACACTCAGAGACCGACTCAATTGATGCCTCTAGAGATACTATCTCTTACATTGTTACCCAACGCTTAGGTTTACCTCCACTTTACTCATATCCTTCCATATCCTTGTCTGTACATAATGCCCTGAATCTTTTCTATAACACCCGGAAATCTGCCCCCTTTATTCTATGTACCCAACGCACTAGAAGACCAGTTCTTAAAGCCTTTAGCCGTATCCTTATTCTAGTCCTCCTCTGTTCCTCTGGTGATGTAAAGGCTAACCCAGGGCCTGTAGCCCCCAGTATCACTCCTACTCCCCAGGAGCTATCATTTGATGACTTCTGTAATCGCAAAAGTCTTGGTTTCTTGCACATAAATATCAGAAGTCTACTTCCTAAGTTTGAGTTATTCACTGTGTTAGCACACTCTGCCAACCCTGATGTTCTAGCAGTGTCTGAATCCTGGCTCAGGAAGGCCACCAAAAATTCTGAAATTTCCATCCCCAACTATAACATTTTCCGTCTAGATAGAACTGCCAAAGGGGGTGGAGTTGCAATCTACTGTAGAGATAGCCTGCAGAGCTCTATCATACTATCCAGGTCTGTGCCCAAACAGTTTGAGCTTCTACTTCTAAAAATCCACCTTTCCAGAAATAAGTCTCTCACTGTTGCCGCTTGCTACAGACCCCCTTCAGCCCCCAGCTGTGCCCTGGACACCATATGTGAATTGATTGCCCCCCATTTATCCTCTGAGTTTGTACTGCTTGGTGACCTAAATTGGGATATGCTTAATACCCCAGCCATCCTACAATCCAAGCTAGATGCCCTCAACCTCACGCAAATTATCAACGAACCTACCAGGTACAACCCTAAATCCTTAAACATGGGTACCCTCATAGATATCATCCTGACTAACATACCCTCTAAATACACCTCAGCTGTCTTCAACCAGGATCTCAGCGATCACTGCCTTATTGCCTGCGTCCGTAACGGGTCTGCGGTCAAACGACCACCCCTCATCACTGTCAAACGCTCCCTAAAACACTTTAGCGAGGAGGCCTTCCTAATTGACCTGGCCCAGGTATCCTGGATGGATATAGATCTCATTCCGTCAGTAGAGGATGCCTGGTTGTTCCTTAAAAGTAATTTCCTCTCAATCTTAAATAAACATGCCCCATTCAAAAAATACAGAACTAAGAACCGATATAGCCCCTGGTTCTCCTCAGACTTGACTGCCCTTGACCAGCACAAAAACATCCTGTGGCGTACAGCATTAGCATCAAATAGCCCCCGCGATATGCAACTTTTCAGGGAAGTTAGGAACCAATATACACAAGCAGTCAGGAAAGCAAAGGCTAACTTTTTCAAACAGAAATTTGCATCCTGTAGCACTAACTCCAAAAAGTTTTGGGACACTGTAAAGTCCATGGAGAATAAGAGCACTTCCTCCCAGCTGCCCACTGCACTGAGGCTAGGAAACACTATCACCACCGATAAATCTACAATAATCTAGAATTTCAACAAGCATTTTGCTACAGCTGGCCATGCTTTCCATCTGGCTACCACTAACCCGGCCACCAACTCTGCACCCTCTGCTGCAACTTGCCCATGCCCCCCCCCGCTTCTCCTTCACACAAATTCAGACAGCTGATGTTTTGAAAGCGCTGCAAAATTTGGACCCCTACAAATCAGCTGGGCTAGACAATCTGGACCCTTTCTTTCTAAAACTAGCCGCCGAAATTGTCGCAACCCCTATTACTAGTCTGTTCAACCTCTCTTTCATAACGTCTGAGATCCCCAGAGATTGGAAAGCTGCCGCGGTCATCCCCCTCTTCAAAGGGGGTGACACTCTAGATCCAAACTGCTACAGACCTATATCCATCCTGCCCTGCCTTTCGAAAGTATTCGAAAGCCAAGTTAACAAACAGATCACCGACCATTTCGAATACCACCGTACCTTCTCCGCTATGCAATCCGGTTTCCGAGCTGGTCACGGGTGCACTTCAGCCACGCTCAAGGTCCTAAACGATATTATAACCACGATTGATAATAGACAGTACTGTGCAGCCGTCTTCATCGACCTGGCCAAGGCTTTCGACTCTGTCAACCACCGCATTCTTATTGGCAGACTAAATAGCCTTGGTTTCTCAAATGACTGCCTCGCCTGGTTCACCAACTACTTCTCAGATAGAGTTCAGTGTGTCAAATCGGAGGGCCTGTTGTCTGGACCTATGGCAGTCTCTATGGGGGTGCCACAGGGTTCAATTCTTGGGCCGACACTTTTCTCCGTGTATATCAATGATGTTGCTCTTGCTGCTGGTGACTCTCAGATCCACCTCTACGCAGACGACACCATTTTGTATACATCTGGCCCTTCATTGGACACTGTGTTAACAAACCTCCAAACGAGCTTCAATGCCATTCAACAATCCTTCAGTAGCCTTCAACTGCTCTTAAACACTAGTAAAACTAAATGCATGCTTTTCAATCGAACGCTGCTAGCACCCGCCCACCCGACTAGAATCACCACTCTCGACGGGTCTGACCTAGAGTATGTGGACAACTACAAATATCTAGGTGTCTGGTTAGACTGTAAACTCAACTTCCAGACTCACATAAATAATCTCCAATCCAAAGTTAAATCTAGAATCGGCTTCCTATTTCGCAACAAAGCCTCCTTCACTCATGCTGCCAAACATGCCCTCGTAAAACTGACTATCCTACCGATCCTTGACTTCGGCGATGTCATTTACAAAATAGCCTCCAACACTCTACTCAGCAAATTGGATGTAGTCTATCACAGTGCCATCCGTTTTGTCTCCAAAGCCCCATACACTACCCACCACTGTGACCTGTACGCTCTTGTTGGCTGGTCCTCACTACATGTTCGTCGTCAAACCCACTGGCTCCAGGCCATCTATAAATCACTGCTAGGCAAATCCCCGCCTTATCTTAGCTCATTGGTCACCATAGCAGCACCCACCCGTAGTCTGCGCTCCAGCAGGTATATCTCACTGGTCATTCCCAAAGCCAACACCTCCTTTGGCCGCCATTCCTTCCAGTTCTCTGCTGCCAATGACTGGAACGAATTGCAAAAATCTCTGAAGCTGGAGACTCTTATCTCCCTCAATAACTTTAAGCATCAGTTGTCAGAGCACCTTACCGATCACTGCACCTGTACACAGCCCATCTGAAATTAGCCCACCCAACTACCTCATCCCTATATTGTTATTTATTTTGCTCTTTTGCACCCCAGTATCTCTATTTGCACATCATCTCTTGCACATCTAGCATTCCAGTGTTAATACTATTGTAATTATTCTGCACTATAGCCTATTTATTGCCTTACCTCCATAACTTGCTACATTTGCACACACTGTATATATATTTTCTGTTGTATCTCTGACTTTATGTTTTTTTTACCCCACATGTAACTCTGTGTTGTTTTTATTGCACTACTTTGCTTTATCTTGGCCAGGTCGCAGTTGTAAATGAGAACCTGTTCTCAACTGGCTTACCTGGTTAAATAAAGGTGAAATAAAAAAATAAATAAAACTATGGACGTGACGCTGCCCTTACCGTCATCCTGGACAAGATGGATATCTTCCTGGAGATTGTGACCAACCCTGATGGCTACTACTGCACCCACACTAACGTGAGTCGCTCACAACAGAACATATGCCATTAACGGTACAATTTATTTTAATGTGCATTCCCTGACCCCTATGATTACTAAATGTTACATTTTGTTTACGTCATGTTATATCGCTCCACCTGCGTGATCTGAATCTCTTATTCATATGTAGGAACTTAATTTGAGCCAGTTTGCTACAGCAGGAAAATTATCCTGCAGCAACAGGAAATGTGAATTATTATGTGGATTTTAGTTTGGGCATTTTTCCCAAACTAAAATCAAGTCTGAAATTTCAAAGTACAAATTAGAAACTTCAGAAGCCTTTTCAAACCTCAAATACACTACACATTTTAAAATGTCCTGCATTGCAGGAAAGTTCTCCTGCAACAGGGTGATCAAATTAAGATCCTACATCTAGATCCAATATCAACTATCGAATGTCATTTGACTTCGCTCTGACATCATCAACTGCTGCTTACAGCTATGCACTAGACCAAACCAAACAAACCATTTGTCACGACAAAGACCTTTCATGTTCCACAGAACCGTATGTGGCGTAAGACCAGGAAGCCCAACCCTGGCTCTTCCTGCATTGGAACTGACCCCAACAGAAACTGGGATGCTGGTTTTGGAGGTATATTTTCCTTGTCACTTGCAAATCACTTTTATATTCAAATACAGTAGATTCCGATGTCACAAACTCAATAAGAAACCAAATTTGATTTTTTTGGTCAAATAAAATGTATCTTCTTGCACCTGGTGAGATAGTATTTTGCATTGTTATTTTTTTGTCTGCCACTAATGTTTTATATCCTTTTGTCTATCTCCTCTGTTGTCTTTGGTAGGTCCCGGTGCCAGTAACAGCCCCTGCTCTGAGACTTACCGCGGACCCAAGGCTCACTCTGAGTCTGAGGTCAAGTCCATTGTGGACTTTGTCAAGTCTCACGGCAACCTGAAGGCCTTCGTGTCCATCCATTCCTACTCCCAGATGCTCCTCTACCCCTACGGTTACACCACGACCCCCTGCAAGGACCAGAGCGAACTGGTGAGTCCAGCATCCATCAACTAGTTGTCTTTGACATGTCTGGTAACAACTTGAGGTATCCGTACCTATAGGGAGCGCCCTGCCTGCATTCTCCACCACATGTGGCCTCACCAGGGGGAAGGGTGAATCCAATAGGGGACTTTAACATTCGGTTACTTTTATTATATGCCCACAGCACAACCTGGCCAGGAAGGCTATCACTGATCTGGCTTCCCTGTATGGAACTTCCTACAGATACGGAAGCATAATCAACACCATCTGTAAGTGTCAAACACCGGTTTAACCTATTCGTTGCTTTAAATGGCTCCCATCCCATCCCATTCCAATCCAATCTAGTCCACCACGATCTATCAACATGAGCACACTCCACCTTTATTATATAACCAAAGTAATTACAATATTTTTAGTTTAGGGTTATATACTCTTATATACTCTGTGACAATACAGAAACTATTGTCAATTCCCTTTTTTCTTGTCAATTCCAGATCAGGCTAGCGGTGGTACCATTGACTGGACCTACAACCAGGGCATCAAGTACTCCCACACCTTTGAGCTGAGAGACACTGGTCGCTATGGTTTCATCCTGCCTGCCAATCAGATCCTCCCTACTGCCAAGGAGACTTGGCTGGCTCTGATGGCCATCATGGAGCATACCAAGGACAACACAAACTAGAGGGGTCACCACGACAACCTACTGGACTCTCTGTCATTGTACTGTTGTACATAGGTATATATAGGAAAAGCCTATCGGTAACATTATGTCTACCATGTCTCTTTCCAGGCCCCAAAGAGACCAACAAATGTCAACTGTTATACCTGATTTTGTCTATTTCATTTTTATACACTGCCAAGCTCTTGAGGAGATGTCAAAATGAAGCAGAGAGAAAGGTTGTTATGGTTGAAGTAATCTGTCGTGGACAGACTACAAAACATAAAGTAGTTTGCATGAGATTTTTGGTTCTGGTTGCCAAGATTATGGTTGAAGGTCTCATAACATAATCAATAATCATAAAATATTGCTTTAAAAAATTACTCCACAGAAAGTACATTTTAACAACATTTTACAATTGTGAAAATAAGGATAACAATTGTATTGTTATATAATTCACCCATGCAGTAGAAAGAGCACTCCTTCTTGGTGGTTTGCTGCTTGTTACTTAATGTGGACAAAACAAAACAAAATCAGCACACTCCATATACAGTGGGGAGAACAAGTATTTGATACACTGCCGATTTTGCAGGTTTTCCTACTTACAAAGCATGTAGAGGTCTGTAATTTTTATCATAGGTACACTTCAACTGTGAGAGACGGAATCTAAAACAAAAATCCAGAAAATCACATTGTATGATTTTTAAGTAATTCATTTGCATTTTATTGCATGACATAAGTATGTGTTCACCTACCAACCAGTAAGAATTCCGGCTCTCACAGACCTGTTAGTTTTTCTTTAAGAAGCCCTCCTGTTTTCCACTCATTACCTGTATTAACTGCACCTGTTTGAACTCGTTACCTGTATAAAAGACACCTGTCCACACACTCAATCAAACAGACTCCAACCTCTCCACAATGGCCAAGACCAGAGAGCTGTGTAAGGACATCAGGGATAAAATCGTAGACCTGCACAAGGCTGGGATGGTCTACAGGACAATAGGCAAGCAGCTTGGTGAGAAGGCAACAACTGTTGGCGCAATTATTAGAAAATGGAAGAAGTTCAAGATGACGGTCAATCACCCTCCGTCTGGGGCTCCATGTAAGATCTCACCTCGTGGGGCATCAATGATCATGAGGAAGGTGAGGGATCAGCCCAGAACTACACGGCAGGACCTGGTCAATGACCTGAAGAGAGCTGGGACCACAGTCTCAAAGAAAACCATTAGTAACACACTACGCCGTCATGGATTAAAATCCTGCAGCGCACTCAAGGTCCCCCTGCTCAAGCCAGCGCATGTCCAGGCCCGTCTGAAGTTTGCCAATGACCATCTGGATGATCCAGAGGAGGAATGGGAGATGGTCATGTGGTCTGATGAGACAAAAACATAACTTTTTGGTCTAAACTCCACTCGCCGTGTTTGGAGGAAGAAGAAGGATGAGTACAACCCCAAGAACACCATCCCAACCGTGAAGCATGGAGGTGGAAACATAATTCTTTGGGGATGCTTTTCTGCAAAGGGGACAGGACGACTGCACCGTATTGAGGGGAGGATGGATGGGGCCATGTATCGCGAGATCTTGGCCAACAACGTCCTTCCCTCAGTAAGAGCATTGAAGATGGGTTGTGGCTGGGTCTTCCAGCATGACAACGACCCGAAACACACAGCCAGGGCAACTAAGGAGTGGCTCCGTAAGAAGCATCTCAAGGTCCTGGAGTGGCCTAGCCAGTCTCCAGACCTGAACCCAATAGAAAATCTTTGGAGGGAGCTGAAAGTCTGTATTGCCCAGCGGCAGCCCCGAAACCTGAAGGATCTGGAGAAGGTCTGTATGGAGGAGTGGGCTAAAATCCCTGCTGCAGTGTGTGCAAACCTGGTCAAGACCTACAGGAAACGTATGATCTCTGTAATTGCAAACAAAGGTTTCTGTACCAAATATTAAGTTCTGCTTTTCTGATGTATCAAATACTTATGTCATGCAATAAAATGCAAATTAATTACTTAAAAATCATACAATGTGATTTTCTGGATTTTTGTTTTAGATTCCGTCTCTCACAGTTGAAGTGTACCTATGATAAAAATGACAGACCTCTACATGCTTTGTAAGTAGGAAAACCTGCAAAATCGGCAGTGTATCAAATACTGTATAACAACAACATCAAGTCCCAGAGGTACAAATTGTATATGAAAAAACATATATGAAATTATATGTCAAAACTAACAGACTTTAGTAACATAACAAAATAAGAAAATGGAAAAACATGTTGTTGTTTAAAATGGCTTCTAAATGAAAAGAGGTGCCATGTGGGTGTGGGGAATATTTATAGGGACTGATGTGGCTACTAAAGCAGTTTTGGTGTTTCTCTGTCTTCAAGGCTTGTGGCCTAACACAGGTCTAAAGATTAGGTTAGCCACGTCATGTGGTTTAGAAGGGTAATGGGTGTGATAAACCAATTGGATCATTTCACCTGGTTTAATGTACAGGTATGGCGGTTTGAATTAGTTAGATTGTTAGATAAACTGCAAATAATCTCTGACAGATTAATGTCTTTAAAGCAGACATGCAGGACATGTGGGGCATGTACTGAACAAAAATATAAACGCAACATTAAAGTGTTGGTCCGATGTTTCATGAGCTGAAATAAAAGATCCCAGAAATGTACAATATGCACAAAAAGCTTATTTCTCTCAAATTCTATGCACAAATTAGTTTACATCACTGTTAGCGAGCATTTATATTTTTCCAAGATAATCCATCCACCTGACAGGTGTGGCATGTCAAGAAGCTGATTAAACAGAAATATCATTACACAGGTGCACCTTGTGCTGGGGACACTCTAAAATGTGCTTTTTTGAAACACAACACAATGCCACAGATGTCTTAAGTTTGGAGGAAGCTTAAAATTGGCATGCTGACTGCAGGAATGTACACTAGAGCTGTTGTCAGAGAATTAAATGTTCATTTCTCCACCATAAGCCACCCTCAACGTCGTCTTAGAGAATTTGGCAGTACGTTACATGTGGCCTCACAACCGCAGACCACATGTAACCACGCCAGCCCAGGACTTCCTCTTCCGGATTCTTCACCTGCGGGATCATCTGAGACCAGCCGCCCGGAAAGCTGTTTGGAGATCTCCTTGGTCTTCGTGGTGCCGCTTGTGTCACGCCCTGGCTCTGGGGACTCTAGTATGTTGAGCCAGGGTGTGAGTTTTCGTTTGTTTTCGTTCTAGTTTAGTATTTCTATGTTGGCCAGTGTGGTTCTCAATCAGAGGCAACGGGTATCAGCTGTTGCTTGTTGTCTCTGATTGGGAACCATACTTAAGCAGCCAGTTTTCCCACAGTGTTTGTGGGATCTTGTTCCTGTATAGGTTTGTGTTTTGCACCTTTGGACGTCACGTTATCGTTTTGTTCGTGTAATCATTATTTAATAAATATGTTCACCTTCCACGCTGCGCCTTGGTCCTCTGTTTCCGAAGATCCCACCAACACTGGACCAAGCAGCGTGTCCAGGAGCCAGCGCCAGAGGTATCGCTAAACGACATCAACCTCGACTGGGCCTGGCCCACGGGGAGGAGAGACACCAGAAATGTTTTAGGGGGGGGGGCTCACGCCGTGGACGACGGGGCAGCAGGAGGCCGCGATAGAGCGGTCCAGCGGGTTTGCAGAGGAGGCTGCCAGGTTAAGGGGGCCACTGGTCACAGAGGAGAGGGAAAGTGTAGAGGCACGGCGAGAGGTACTGGGGTGTGTTACCAGTCCGGTCCGGCCCGTTCCTGATCCCTGCGTAGGGCCTGTGGTGTGTGTCCCCAGTACGGTCCGGCCTGTTCCTGTTCCTCGCATCGAGCCTGTGGTGCGCGTCGTCAGCCCGGCCCGGCCTGTTCCTGCTCCACGCACCAAGCCTATGGTGCGCATCGTCAGCCCGGTTCGGCCCGCTCCTGCTCCCCGCACCAAGTCAGTGGTGCGCTTCGTCAGCCCGGTCCGGCCCGCTCCTGCTCCCCGCACCAAGTCAGTGGTGCGCTTCGTCAGCTTGGTCCGGCGCGCTCCTGCTCCCCGCACCAAGTCAGGGGTGCGTTTCGTCAGCCCGGCTCGGCCCGTTCCTGCTCCCCACACCAAGCCAGTGGTGTGCGTCGTCAGTCCGGCACAGCCCGTGCCTGTTCCACCGGTGCCTGGTTCGGCACGGGTCAGCTGCTTCACGCCGGAGGTAGAGCAATCCGCTCCACCAGTGTGCAGTCCAGCTCCGGTCAGCAGGGCCAGACCGGACCAGGGGTACTTTGGGGGGTTAGAGAGGGAGTGGGGATCATGCCCGGAGCCGGATCCGCCGCCAAGGCGGAGTGCCCACCCGGTCCCTCCCCTGTGGTGTTTGGTTGGCGCGGTTGGAGTCCGCGCCTTTGGGGGGGGGGGTACTGTCATGCTCTGGGGACTCTAGTATGTTGAGCCAGGGTGTGAGTTTTCGTTTGTTTTCGTTCTAGTTTAGTATTTCTATGTTGGCCAGTGTGGTTCTCAATCAGAGGCAACGGGTATCAGCTGTTGCTTGTTGTCTCTGATTGGGAACCATACTTAAGCAGCCAGTTTTCCCACAGTGTTTGTGGGATCTTGTTCCTGTATAGGTTTGTGTTTTGCACCTTTGGACGTCACGTTATCGTTTGTTGTTTTGTTCGTGTAATCATTATTTAATAAATATGTTCACCTTCCACGCTGCGCCTTGGTCCTCTGTATCCGACGATCGTGACAGCTTGCTTGGTGGTGCCCCTTGCTTAGTGGTGTTGCAGACTCTGGAGCCTTACAGAACAGGTGTATATATACTGAGATCATGTGACAGATCATGTTAAACTTAGATTGCACATAGGTGGACTTTACTTAACTAATTATGTGACTTCTGAAGGTATTTGGTTGCACCATATCTTATTTAGGGGCTTCATAGCAAAGGGGGTGAATACATGTGCACGCACCACTTTTCAGTAATTTTTTTTAAAAATTGTTTTAAACAAGTTATTTTTTTTATTTCACTACACCAATTTGGACTATTTTGTGTATGTCCATGACATGAAATCCAAATAAAAATCAATTTAAATTACAGGTTGTAATGCAACAAAATAGGAAAAACGCCAAAGGGGATGAATACTTTTGCAAGGCACTGTAAACACAATCAACCTTAAACAATAGAAAACAAAATACTGTTCGATGTAAGTCATTGACTTCACTTATACATTACATATGCTACCGGTGAAATGTTTTAGAACATCTACTCATTCAAGGGTTTTTCAATATTTTTAAAAAATTTTACATTGTAGAATAATAGTGAAGACATACAAACTTTGAAATAACACATATGGAATCATGTAGTAACCAAAAAAAGTGTTAAACAAATCAAAATATATTTTATATTTGAGATTCTTCAAATAGCCAGCGTTTGCCTTGATGACAGCTTTGCACACTCTTGGCATTCTCTCAACCAGCTTCACCTGGAATGCTTTTCCAACATTCTTGAAGGAGTTCCCACATATAATGAGCACTTGTTGGCTGCTTTTCCTTCACTCTGCAGACCGACTCATCCCAAACCATGTCAATTTGGTTGAGGTCGGGGGGTTGTGGAGGCCAGGTCATCTGATGCAGCACTCCATCACTCTCCTTCTTGGTAAAATAGCCCTTACACAGCCTGGAGGTGTGTTGTGTCATTGTCCTGTTGAAAAACAAATGATAGTCCCACTAAACCCAAACCAGATGGGATGGCATATCACTGCAGAATGCTGTGGTATCCATGCTGGTTAAGTGTGCCTTGAATTCTAAATAAATCACAGACAGTGTCACCAGCAAAGCACCCCCACACCATATCACCTCCTCCTCCATGCTTTACGGTGAGAACTACACATGCAGAGATCATCCGTTCACCTACACCGCGTCTCACAAAGACACGGCGGTTGGACCCCAAAAATGTTTCTTTGGTCCAAGCAAGTCTCATCTTATTATTGGTGTCCTTTAGTAATGGTTTCTTTGCAGCAATTCGACCAATTCGACCTGATTCACACAGTCTCCTCTGAACAGTTGATCTTGAGATGTGTCTTACTTGAACTCTGTGAAGCATTTATTTGGGCTGCAATTTCTGAGGCTGGTAACTCTACTGAACTTATACTCTGCAGCAGAGGTAACTCTGGGTCTTCCATTCCTGTGGCGTTCCTCATGCAAGCCAGTTTCATCATAGCGTTTGATGATTTTTGCTGCACTTGAATAAACGTTCAAAGTTCTTGAAATGTTCTGCATTGACTGACCTACATGTCTTAAAGTAATGTTGGACTGTTGTTTCTCTTTGCTTATTTGAGCTGTTCTTGCCATAATATGGACTTGGTCATTTACCAAATAGGGCTATCTTCTGTATGCCCCCCCACCTTGTCACAACATAACTGATTAGCTGAAATGCATTATGAAAGGAAATAAATTCAAAAATTAACTTTTAAGAAGGCACACCTGTTAATGGAAATGCATTCCAGGTGCCTACCTCATGAAGCTGGTTGAGAGTGTGCCAAGAGTGTGCAAAGCTGTCATCAAGGCAAAGGGTGGCTATTTGATGAATCTCAAATATAAAATATATTTTGATTTGTTTAACACTTTTTTGGTTACTACATGATTCCATGTGTGTTATTTCATAGTTTTAATGTCTTCACTATTATTCTTCAATGTAGAAAATAGTAAAAAATAAAGAAAAACCCTTGAATGAGTGGGTGTTCTAAAACTTTTGACCGATAGTGCTGATGCCACACACACACACACACACACACACACACACACACACACACACACACACACACACACACACACACACACACACACACACACACACACACACACACACACACACACACACAGACACACACACACACACACACTCATACACACACACACTTTCACACTCACCACGTACGCTGCTGCAACTATTATCTAGCCTGTTGCCTGGTCACTTTACCCCTACCTATATGTGCTGTACATAGCTACCTCAATTACCTTGTTCCCCTGAACATCGACTCGGTACTGGTACTCCCTGTATATAGCCATGTTATTTTTAATTGTTATTTGTATTTGTTATTCACTGTGTATTTATTCCTATTGTCACTATTTATTTTTTAAAATCTTATCTGTAACTCTGCATAATGGAAAGGACCCGTAAGCATTTCACTGTTAGTCTACACCTGTGGGCTACGAAGCATGTGACAAATAACATTTGATTTGATAACACACTGTGGGTTCGATTCCCATGGGGGGCCAGTATAAAAATATAAATAAATGATGTATGCACTCACTAACTGTAAGTCGCTCTGGATAAGAGCGTCTGCTAAATTACTAAAATGTAAAATGTAAATAACACTGTCATAAGACTGCATAAAAACACTGCCATAAGAGTGCATAATAACACTATCATAAGACTTCATAATAACACTGTCATAAAACTGGATAATAACATGATCATTTTGCATAATAACACTGTCATAATAATGTTATCAAGCCTGTTTTAAAACTACAGTCCTCAGAGCTCTTTGGTTCTAATGTGATATTATCTTACTAGCTTTATCGGACTAGATCTACAGTTTCCAGGACATGCTGGTGGCTGAGAACCCCAACCTGGTCAGCAAGATCGTGACTGGCCAGAACTTTGAGGGCCGCCCTCTGAATGTGCTCAATGTAAGTCGTGTCAGTTTTCAATACTTTTTTGGTGTTATCATGGATTTTCTTGGTACCTGTCCTAATGTTAATACACCCATTCTCGCTCTCATAGTTTAGCACTGGTGGCACCAACCGTCCTGGCATCATGGTTCGCCAAGAAGGTAATCAACTTCTAGTCTCTTTCCTTCCAGTCAGGTTGGATTTCCCCACATGCTCATTAGTCACAATGCAAACTCCAGTTTGCTGCTAAGAATAGCAAATATAGTGTTATGAAGGCAATAGGGTCATTACAGTCTATTTGCTATGCAAAACATATTATTATTATGAATATTATTATTATTAAGGGAGTTAAGTCTTTTTGTAGTAAGTTTACCTCTCTAGGGGATTAGGCAATTCCGGTTCTGAATACCCACAGGGACGTTCCCACTCCCACAGGTTGCTGCATTGATGTCAAAAGTGGGATGGCGCCCCCATGAGGCCAGGTATTCTCTTTTCAGTATGATAACGTGCTTAAATCTTTCTGTTTCAATGACCACCAGATTATGACTGACCCCATCCTCACGGCCATTTTGGACAAGATGGACATCTTTCTGGAGATCATGGTCAACCCTGATGGTTACTACTACACCCATACTACTGTGAGTCCCTAACAGCAAAACAGTTTATTTATTTTTCATAATTCATCAACTAATACTCTGTAATGGCAGCTCTGATGATTAATTAATGAATTCACTCAGAATTAATCCAACCCATTGATTATGTTATCCCTTCATGTTCCACAGAACCATATATGGCGTAAGACCAGGAAGCCCAACCCTGGCTCTTCCTGCGTTGGAACTGACCCCAACAGGAACTGGGATGCTGGTATTAGAAGTAGGCTATGTTTCCTATTTGCTTCTTGAAAGTATGGAAGCCCTGAAGCCCAAGGCTAAAAAACAAAACAAAAGAAAGGTAGACTCTTGGTTGAACGACTTAGTATCTTGTTTGAACGACTTAGTATCTTGTTCAAACGACTTCGTATCTCGTTTGAACGACTTCGTATCTCGTTTGAACGACATAGTATCTCGTTTGAACGTATAACAAAAAAAAGAGATTTTCCATCACCAATAAATCAATGAACTTCAGAGATAATAGGCTGGTTTATGCTGCGAAAACATGTTTCTATTAGCCTACCAGAATCGCCTACAGAAATAAGTTTGTGATAGGCCTTCAATTGAAAGGTTTAACTTGTTATAGCCTACAGTTCACAATAACAGGAAAAAATACATTTAATCACTGAAATAAAATTAAGAGATAGTACATTTTCTTGTTGACACTTCGTTTGTTCTTTGAAGTGTTGACTAATGGTTTACTGAAATATAAGGAAGCTATCCGATTTTCAATGGCACAGATGACAACAATCAATTTTTTTGACGATAAGGCAAAGCAACAAAAAAATGATTTGAAAGCATCCTCGAGAAGGAGCACTTGAGAGGGAGAACCATGCGTAATGGATGGATTCAGCAGACGGTGTCACGGTTTCGGCCGAGGCTGCTCCTCCTCCTGGTTCGGGCAGGCTTCGGCGGTCGTCGTCCCCGGAGTACTAGCTGCCACCGATCTATGTTTCATGTTCGTTTGGTTTTGTCTTGATGTTGTACACCTGTGTCTTGTTAGTCCTCGTTAGTGTCCTATTTAGTCCTCGTTGTGTGTGTTTGTCTTTGTGTGTGATTGCTCTTCTGTTTCGTGTTGGAGCTACGTACTTCCCTCCAGTGTTTTGGAGAGGTTTTTCGCACATGTTAGTGCGCCGTTTGTTTGACGCCTGTGTGCGCCGTTATTTCACCTTCGGGCTTATTGTGCTTATTTTCTACGTGAATATTGCACTAAAGTCTTTTGGACTGAGCTTCTGCGTCCTGCGCTTGATTCATGCACCACACCCACCTTCAGCACCCCTTGACAGAATCACACACCAAAATGGAATCAGCAGGATCTGCAGTTACGCCTGAGTCGCTCGAGGAGCATGTTCGCGGCCAAGATGACCAGATACGACAACTGGGGACCGCTCTACAGGACATCATCAACACCCTGCACCGATGGGAGGCCAGCGGGGTACCCACACCTCCACCTACCCTGCCAACCCCATCGGCCGGTCCACCAGTCCCAGGTCCGGAACCCAGGGGGATTTGGCTCTCGCTCCCGAGGGCGTATGACGGAACAGCTGCCGGGTGTCAGGGGTTCCTCCTGCAGGTGGAGCTCTACCTGGCCACTGTACACCCGGTGCCCTCGGGACACGAGAGCGTTTCCGCCCTCATCTCCTGTCTCACGGGCAAGGCATTGGAGTGGGCTAACGCCGAGTGGAGGAAGATGGACGCCAACACCACCTCCTACGCCGAGTTCTCCCGCCGCTTCAAGGCCGTGTTCGACCATCCACCTGAGGGCAAAGCAGCGGGGGAGCATCTAGTCCACCTGAGACAGGGGAGGAGGAGCGCACAGGAGTTTGCTCTAGAGTTCCGGACTCTAGCGGCGGACGCAGGGTGGAGTGAACGGGCCCTCATCGACCATTTTCGATGTAGCCTACGGGAGGACGTTCAACGTGAGTTGGCCTGCAGCGATACCCATCTCACCTTCGACCATGTCCATCCGTCTGGATGGTCGATATGTCCATCCGTCTGGACACCCTGCTGGCCACCCGTGGACGTCCCGAGGGGGGTCCGTCCATTCCGCCCTCCGGCACCGCCGAGCCGAGCCCTATGGAGCTCGGGGGTGCCGGCGCTAGAGAAAGGAGGAGGAGGAGCCCGAGGGGGCCTGTCTCCTGCACCAAGTGCGGTCGTGGAGGGCACACTGCGGCCAGGTGCTGGGGAGGGTTCTCCGGGGGAGAAGACAACAGGCCACGCACTGGGGGGGCCTCCCAGGTGAGTAGACGTCCCACTTACCCAGAGCTTTCTGTTGCGCACTTTTGTATACCTGTGTGTTTTCCACAGGTTGCACCTCATTCCCAGCATAAGGCGCTAGTAGATTCAGGCGCAGCTGGGAATTTTGTTGATCGGAAGTTTTGTTTAGATTTAGGGATCCCTCTCCTACCTGTTGACAAACCTTTTCCCGTTCATGCCTTAGATAGCCGCCCGTTGGGGTCGGGGTTGATTAGGGAGATCACAGCACCACTTAGGATGTCATGAAGAGACTATACAGCTGTATCTGATCGACTCTCCTGCGTACCCAGTGGTGCTGGGAATTCCCTGGTTAAGCACCCATAACCCTGCTATTTCGTGGCAACAGAGGGCTCTCGATGTGTGGTCTGCTCAGTGCGAGGGGCGATGTCTGGGTGTTTCCGTGGGGGCGACTTCGGTGGAAAGTCCAAACCAAGTGCCCGCACTGCACATTCCGCCTGAATATGGGGATTTAGCTCTCGTGTTTAGTAAAACTAGGGCGACGCAGTTGCCTCCTCATAGACAGGGGGATTGTGCGATTGATCTCCAGGCAGGAGCAGCGCTCCCACGGAGCCATGTGTATCCTTTGTCTCAAGAGGAGAGAAAAGCTATGGAGACTTACATAGCCGAATCTTTGAGACAAGGATACATTCGGCCCTCCACTTCTCCCGCCTCCTCGAGTTTCTTTTTTGTGAAGAAGAAAGATGGAGGGTTGCGCCCGTGCATTGATTACCGTGGTCTCAATCAGATTACTGTGAAATACAGTTATCCACTCCCTCTGATTGCGACCATGACAGAGTCATTGCATGGAGCGCGGTTTTTCACAAAATTGGATCTCAGGAGCGCGTATAACTTGGTGCGCATTAGGGAGGGCGACGAATGGAAGACAGCGTTTAGTACCACGTCAGGTCATTTAGAATATCTCGTCATGCCATATGGGTTGATGAATGCTCCATCAGTCTTCCAATCCTTCGTAGATGACATTTTCCGGGATATGCAGGGACAAGGGGTGGTCGTGTACATTGATGACATTCTGGTGTACTCGTCTACCCGAGCCGAGCATATAACCCTGGTGCGTCGTGTATTGAGGAGGCTGTTGGAGCACGACCTATATGTCAAGGCAGAGAAATGTCTGTTTTTCCAGGAGTCGGTCTCCTTTTTGGGTTATCGGTTGTCCGCGTCAGGGGTGAGAATGGAGGTGGATCGTGTGTCCGCTGTGCGTAATTGGCAAACTCCAACCACTGTAAAAGAGGTGCAGCAGTTCTTGGGCTTTGCGAATTATTACCGGAGGTTTATCCGGGGTTTTGGACAGGTGGCAGCTCCCATCACGTCCCTTCTGAAAGGGGGTCCGGTGCGCCTGCAGTGGTCAGCTGATGCGGACAGGGCCTTTAGGAGACTGAAGGACCTGTTTACGTCGGCTCCGGTGCTGGCGCATCCGGATCCCGCATTACCCTTTCAGGTTGAGGTAGACGCGTCTGAGGCTGGTATAGGGGCCGTTCTCTCTCAACGGTCCGGCACGCCACCTAAACTCCGCCCCTGTGCTTTTTACTCAAAAAAGCTCAGCCCGGCGGAGCGTAACTATGACTTCGGGGACAGGGAGCTGTTAGCTGTAGTTCAAGCCCTTAAGGTGTGGAGGCATTGGCTTGAGGGGGCTCAACACCCTTTCCTAATTTTGACTGACCATCGGAACCTGGAGTACATCCGGGCAGCGAGTAGACTGAACCCTCGCCAGGCTCGATGGAGTATGTTTCTCACCAGGTTCGTATTTAAAATCACGTACATCCCTGGGTCCCAGAATGGTAAGGCAGATGCGCTGTCCCGGCGGTATGACACGGAGGAGAGGTCCGTTGAGCCTACTCCCATACTACCGGAGTCTTGCCTTGTGGCACCGGTGGTGTGGGAGGTCGATGCCGAAATCGAGCGAGCGTTGCGTACCGACCCCAGCCCTCCACAGTGTCCTGAGGGTCGGAAGTACGTTCCGCTCGAGATTCGGGATCGACTCATTTACTGGGCTCACACGTCACCCTCCTCTGGACATCCGGGTATTGGCCGGACAGTGCATTGCCTTAGCACTAAATACTGGTGGCCCACTTTGGCTAGGGATGTGAGGGTTTATGTCTCCTCCTGCTCGGTGTGCGCCCAGTGTAAGGCGCCCCGACATCTGCCCAGGGGTAAGTTACAACCCCTGCCCGTTCCTCTCGGTGGATTTTGTGACAGACCTTCCCCTCTCTCAGGGGAATACCACCATCCTGGTCGTTGTGGACCGGTTCTCTAAGGCCTGTCGTCTTCTCCCAATGTCGGGTCTTCCTACTGCCCTACAGACCGCTGAGGCCCTATTTACCCACGTCTTCCGGCATTACGGGGTACCCGAGGATATAGTGTCTGATCGAGGCCCCCAGTTTACCTCCCGTGTTTGGAGAGCGTTCATGGAGCATTTGGGGGTCTCGGTTAGCCTTACCTCAGGGTACCACCCGGAGAGTAACGGGCAGGTAGAACGTGTCAACCAGGATGTGGGTAGGTTTCTGAGGTCGTATTGCCAGGGCCGGCCGGAGGAGTGGGCACGGTACATTCCCTGGGCCGAGATGGCCCAGAACTCTCTCCGCCACTCCTCTACCAACCTAACCCCCTTCCAATGTGTGTTAGGTTACCAGCCGGTTCTGGCACCTTGGCAGCAGAGCCAGATCGAGGCCCCTGCGGTGGATGATTGGATGAGGCGCTCGGAAGAGACGTGGAACGCTGCCCACATCCACCTGCAGCGGGCCGTCCTTCGTCACAAGGCGAGCGCCGATCTCCACCGCAGTGAGGGGCCGGTGTACGCACCCGGAGATCGAGTCTGGCTCTCTACCAGAAACCTACCCCTCTGCCTGCCCTGCCGGAAGCTGGGTCGGCGGTTTGTGGGACCCTTTAAAGTCCTGAGAAGATTGAACGAGGTGTGTTATAGGTTACATCTACCTGTTGAGTATAAGAATATTAACCCCTCGTTCCATGTGTCTCTTCTCAGGCCGGTGGTAGCTGGTCCACTCCAGGACAATGAGATAGGGGAGACTCCTCCGCCCCCACTGGACGTCGAGGGGGCTCCGGCGTACACCGTTCGGTCCATCTTGGACTCAAGACGCCGGATGGGGGGTCTCCAGTATCTCGTGGAGTGGGAGGGGTACGGCCCGGAGGAGCGGTGCTGGGTGCCGCGGAGGGACATCCTAGACCCATCTCTCTTGTCGGAGTTCCACCGGGACCATCCCGCGCGCCCTGCTCCGCGTCCTCCTGGTCGTCCCCGAGGCCGGGGTCGGCGCACGGCTGGAGCCGCGCGTCAAGGGGAGGGGGGGTACTGTCACGGTTTCGGCCGAGGCTGCTCCTCCTCCTGGTTCGGGCAGGCTTCGGCGGTCGTCGTCCCCGGAGTACTAGCTGCCACCGATCTATGTTTCATGTTCGTTTGGTTTTGTCTTGATGTTGTACACCTGTGTCTTGTTAGTCCTCGTTAGTGTCCTATTTAGTTCTCGTTGTGTGTGTTTGTCTTTGTGTGTGATTGCTCTTCTGTTTTGTGTTGGAGCTACGTACTTCCCTCCAGTGTTTTGGAGAGGTTTTTCGCACATGTTAGTGCACCGTTTGTTTGACGCCTGTGTGCGCCGTTATTTCGCCTTCGGGCTTATTGTGCTTATTTTCTACGTGAATATTGCACTAAAGTCTTTTGGACTGAGCTTCTGCGTCCTGCGCTTGATTCATGCACCACACCCACCTTCAGCACCCCTTGACAGACGGGTTGCAAAATAAATCACTGCATTGCAGGGATCAACCTGCTGTGGCAGTTTTCTAGCCTCATGCAGTGGTAGTAGCAGTATAAATAATAGTAATAATAATAATAATAATAAACGACCTTAATATTCTGCCAAGGCTGACGCAGACCGATTAAGCTATTTCAAACACTTCAAGCTACCAGGAATCAAAAGTCATCTGGGCAAAAATTGGCTGAGGTCAGCACAGATTATTTGGACAATAAGATTGTGTGGAATCGTTTTTATTAGCAGGAAGAAGTTTAACTAATGTCAGAAGTGTCACAATACATAGGGCATTTTTAACAGTCAGGGCATTTGAAGTCGAGCAGAGCTCTTAATGCCTTGTGCCAAACCTGGTCTGATAGCGCAAAGAAGATTTCTCCTGCCCTTTTGGGGATTTAGATAATTAAACAGTATTTTAGGAATTGCAGATTACCTGTGTGGAGCTGTTTTTACACACCAATAATCTGTGTTCTCTTTTGGCGATATCGCCATTGTGCATGCCCTCGGTCATAGTTTGTTCAATTACAGCCAAAAGCTGTTTTGTGGGGTTTGTAATGAGTCTCTTATAGAACATCTGATCATTCAGTTGCCTGAATACTTCAGTCTTATAGACATTTTTCACACAGTTTATTTTTATTTTTACTAAGTCGTTCGAACAAGATACTAAGTCGTTCTAATGAGATAATTAAAATACTCCTTTTTTTATTCTTTTTTTTTGCCTTGGGCTTCAGGGCTCAACACATTGTATAAATTGCATGAACTAACCAAACCTGGGCTCAACACATTGTTTCTATTGCATGAACTAACCAAACCTAAAAAAGTGTCATGGCAACCCGAAGGCCTTCATCGACATCCACAGCTACTCCCCTACGGCTACACTGCAACCCCCTGCAAGTCTGATAGAGATGGGCTTCCCACCTTCCCTTGACCCTTAGCCACGTCTCAGTCATTTACCTAATAATTGTATGTGAGGCAATAATGCAATTTTATAGCATCAAACAGGGTATAACTGTTGAACAGCTAAAGTTTAGTATACACAAAGACGAAGTGTTTTGTCTGTTGAACATGACCTTAAATTGTCAAAGGCTGTACAGATCTGTTGACCTTATTTTATATTTCACCAACAGCATGACCTGGCTGGCAAGGCCATCACTGACCTGGCTACCATGTATGGAACCTTCTATATATACGGCTGTGTCATGACCACCATATGTAAGTGTCTAACGCAGTCACTCCACGGCCACTCACTTTTCATTTAGGCACTGAAAATACATGAAAGGCTACTTCTTTAGGCCCATAACAGCCAATAACAGCCACAAGGTCTAATACAGGAACAATGTAATGTGTTTATCATCCACTAAACCAAGCCAGTGGTGTTCTTCCACTAGACCATGCCCATTTTGTTACGTTCCCCACCAAAAATGTTGCTCAAACAGAAGGGAGAACTAACAAAGAGTCACTGACAACAACCAAAACGAAACAGGTCGGTTTTAGGAGGGGTTCTGAAAGACACTCATGGAAGTGTCCACTGAAAGTTGAGTACCAATAACAATTGGGTCCTAAAAGACATCCACCATGAGCGCCCACAAAATTTGACCACTAAGAGGCAAACAAAAGAAAAACCCACACCAATCTTAAAGGCAGGAAGCAAACCAAAAAGTTTAGCAAAACGAAAACAGTGAAGATCAGACAGGGGGAGCCAACTTGTGATGAGTGTGATGGAAAGGAGTCAGGCGCAGGAGGGTAATCACCGAATACAGAGTTTATTCCTTCGTAGACACACAAATGCGCTCAAATAGCGATCAACGAAACAGGCACAGGGGAAACTCTCATCCCTGGCAAATACACTGTGACGGATATCCAATAATACATAGGCACAGGGGAAAATCTACCCTGGCAACACAATGTTACGAGTAGCTCACCGAGCTACACTACTCTCACAAATAACAATCACCCACAAGGACAAGGGGGCAGAGGGAACACTTATACACAGAATAATTAGGGGATAGGAACCAGGTGTGTGTGATTGACAAGACAAGACAATTGTGATGATGATTGGGGCAGCAGTGGTTAGTAAGCCGGTGACGACGAATGCCGAAGCGTGCCCGAACAAGGAGGGGAGGCAGCCTCGGCCGAAGTCGTGACACAACTAAAGATGTTGACCCTACACATATCTCAAGAAAGTTCCCTTAATCATTAGAAATGACTACTCATGGAGGTTTGAGAATATTTCAATGATAACTGTAAAGAGGAAGCAAAGCTTGTGGTTAAGGTTGACTCCAACTGTAAGTGATGGTGTAAGCAGACATTTAGCCACCGTCTTTTAGGGTAACTTTTTTCTCTCCCTTTCTCAACTCCAAGCATAGTTGTTGAAAGCTGAATGGTTCTCCTGTCTTTTGTAGGGACCAGGTCCTTCGTATCACTGCGAGGGATGAGGTCCAGCTCACTCTTCTGAAGGACCTGTCTGAGATGGAACATCTCCAGGTGTGTGACATGATAATCACCACTGTAGAGCCTTGACCAGGCCATTTCCCTTTCACTATAGCTGCTCAAAAGACTTATATGGGCGATTTCCCGTACACAGATGAAGTCTTAAAAAGCATAAATCTTTGTCCAGGACTAGGCTTAATCTGTCTGGGAGACCGGCCCATTGTGTTGGTTTGTTGGCCTGACGTATCATTCCTACCCTCTATCCCAGTTGGATGGTTGAATAAGCCTTGTAGTGACCTTTGACCTCCCTTTTGCCCACAGGTTAAGCTGGACGAGGAGAAGGAGCAGATGCTGAGTGCTGCCCGTGTCACTGCTTGGTTATATGTTAAATGTCTTTCAAATTTACAGTATTTGAGGATTATAGTAGATGTTCTTTACACCCCCCTCCTTCTCTATTTTCTAGTTCAGCACTGGTGGAACCAACAAACCCGGTATCTGGTTTGACACTGGAATCCACTCCAGGGAATGGGTCACTCAGGCTAGCGGTACCTGGTTCGCCAAGAAGGTGAATCAGTGCTATCTCCCTGACAGTCTTTAAACCTTTCCCATCTCTTCATCTATGCATCTGTTCACCAAACCACTGTCTCACACTCACTGTTACTCACTATGGATGGTAGTCATGATTTAAGATTTCTGATATTATTTTTTTGTTTCAATATCCAGATTGTGACCGACTATGTACGTGACGCTGCCCTTACCGTCATCCTGGACAAGATGGATATCTTCCTGGAGATTGTGACCAACTCTGATGGCTACTACTGCACCCACACTAATGTGAGTCGCTCAAAACAGAACATATGCCATTAACGGTACATTTTAGTTTAATGTACATTCCCTGACCCCTATGATTACTAAATGTTACATTTTCTTTACGTCATGTTATATCGCTCCACCTCTTTGATTGTTAACATGTTACACGTGTGCGTGATCTGAATCTCTTATTCATATGTAGGATCTTAATTTGAGCCAGTTTGCTACAGCAAGAAAATAATCCTGCAGCAACAGGAAATGTGAATTATTATGTGGATTATAATTAATGGACATTTTTGTAGGGGGGGGCATGTTTCCCAAACTAAAATCAAGTCTGAAATTTCAAAGTAGAAATTAGAAACTTCAGAAGCCTTTTCAAACCTCAAATACACTACACATTTTAAATTTCCTGCATTGCAGGAAAGTTCTGCTGCAACAGGGTGATCAAATTAAGATCCTACATCTAGATCGAATATCAACTATCGAATGTCATTTGACTTTGCTCTGACATCATCAACTGCTGGTTACAGCTATGCACTAGACCAAACCAAACAAACAATTTGTCACGACAAAGACCTTTCATGTTCCACAGAACCGTAAGACCAGGAAGCCCAACCCTGACTCTTCCTGCATTGGAACTGACCCCAACAGAAACTGGGATGCTGGTTTTGGAGGTATATTTTCCTTGTCACTTTGATGTTGCAAATCACTTTGTATTAAAAAACAGTAGATTCCGATGTCACAAACTCAATAAGAAACCAAATCTGAATTTTTTGGTCATTAAAATGGAATCTTCTTGCACCTGGTGAGATAGTATTTTGCATTGTAATTTTTTTGTCTGCCACTAATGTTTATATCCTTTTGTCTATCTCCTCTGTTGTCTTTGGTAGGTCCCGGTGCCAGTAACAGCCCCTGCTCTGAGACTTACCGCGGACCCAAGGCTCACTCTGAGTCTGAGGTCAAGTCCATCGTGGACTTTGTCAAGTCTCACGGCAACCTGAAGGCCTTCGTGTCCATCCATTCCTACTCCCAGATGCTCCTCTACCCCTACGGTTACACCAAGACCCCCTGCAAGGACCAGAGCGAACTGGTGAGTCCAGCATCCATCAACTAGTTGTCTTTGAAATGTCTGGTAACAACTTGTGGTATCCGTGCCTATAGGGAGCGCCCTGCCTGCATTCTCCACCACATGTGGCCTCACCAGGGGGAAGGGTGAATCCAATAGGGGACTTTAACATTCGGTTACTTTTATTATATGCCCACAGCACAACCTGGCCAGGAAGGCTATCACTGATCTGGCTTCCCTGTATGGAACTTCCTACAGATACGGAAGCATAATCAACACCATCTGTAAGTGTCAAACACCGGCTTAACCTATTTGTTGCTTTAAATGGCTCCCATCCCATGCCATTCCAATCCAATCTAGTCTACCACGATCTATCAACATGAGCACACTCCACCTGCATGATATAACCAAAGTAATTACTATATTTTTAGTTTAGGGTTATATACTCTTAAATACTCTGTGACAATACAGAAACAATTGTCAATTCCCTTTTTTCTTGTCAATTCCAGATCAGGCTAGCGGTGGTACCATTGACTGGACCTACAACCAGGGCATCAAGTACTCCTACACCTTTGAGCTGAGAGACACTGGTCGCTATGGTTTCATCCTGCCTGCCAATCAGATCCTCCCTACTGCCAAGGAGACTTGGCTGGCTCTGATGGCAATCATGGAGCATACCAAGGACAACACAAACTAGAGGGGTCACCACGAAAACCTACTGGACTCTCTGTCATTGTACTGTTGTACATAGGTATATATAGGAAAAGCCTATCGGTAACATTATGTCTACCATGTCTCTTTCCAGGCCACAAAGAGACCAATAAATGTCAACTGTTTGACCTCATTTTTATACGCTGCCAAGCTCTTGAGGTGATGTCAAAATCAAGCAGAAAGAAAGGTTGTTATGGTTGAAGTAATCTGTTTTTGGACAGACTACAAAACATAAAGTAGTTCATGAGATTTTTGGTTCTGGGTTGCCAAGATTATGGTTGAAGGTCTCATAACATATTCAATATTCATAAAATATTGCAATAAAAACATAACTCCACAGAAAGTACATCGTTCATTTTCAACGTTTTACAGTTGTTAAAATAAGGATAACAATTTAATTCATATTTCTGCTTGCAATAATACGTATTTCCAGGCAGTAGAAAAAGCACTCCTTCTTGGTGGTTTGTTGCTTGTTACTTAATGTGGACAAAAACAAAACAAAATCAGCACACTCCATATACATTTGAGTCATTTAGCAGACACTCTTATCCAGAGCGACTTACAGTTAGTGAATATATATATTTTTTTATACTGGCCCCCCATGGGAATCGAACCCGCAACCCTGGCGTTGCAATTGCCATGCTCTATCAACTGCTATACATCCCTGCCGGCCATTCCCTCCCCTACCCTGGACGACGCTGGGCCAATTGTGCGACGCCCATGAGTCTCCCGGTCGCGGCCAGCTGCGACAGAGCCTGGATTCGAACCAGGATCTCTAGTGGCACAGTTAGCACTGCGATGCAGCGCCTTAGACCACTGCGCCACTCAGGAGCATATATAACAACAACATCAAGTCCCAGAGGTACAAACTGTATATGAAAAAACATATATGAAATGATATATCAAAACTAAAGGACTTTAGTAACATAACAAAATAAGAAAATGGAAAAACATGTTGTTGTTTAAAAAGGCTTCTAAATGAAAAGAGGTACCATTTGGGTGTGGGGAATATTTATAGGGACTGATGTGGCTTCTAAAGCAGTTTTGGTGTTTCTCTGTCTTCAATGCTTGTGGCCTAACACAGGTCTAAAGATTAGGTTAGCCACGTCATGTGGTTTAGAAGGGTAATGGGTGTGATAAACCAATTGGATCATTTCACCTGGTTTAATGTACATGTATGCCGGTTTGAATTAGTTAGATTGTTAGATAAACTGCAAATAATCTCTGACAGATTAATGTCTTTAAAGCAGACATGCAGGACATGTGGGGCATGTACTGAACATAAATATAAACGCAACATGTAAAGTGTTGATCCGGTGTTTAATGAGCTGACATTAAAGATCCCAGAAATGGTCTATACACACAAAAAGCTTTTTTCTCTCAATTTTTCAGCACAAATTAGTTTACATCCCTGTTAGCGAGCATTTCTCTATTGCCAAGATAATCCATCCACCTGACAGGTGTGCATATCAAAAAGCTGATTAAACATCACGATCATTACACAGGTGCACCTTGTGCTGGGGACACTAAAATGCGCAGTTCTGTCACACAACACAATGCCACAGAAGTCTCAAGTTTTGAGGGAGTATAAAATTGGCATGCTGACTGCAGAAATGTCCATCAGAGCTGTTGTCGGAGAATTGAATGTTCATTTCTCTACCATAAGCCACCTCCAACGTAGTTTTAGAGAATTTTGCAGTATGTCCAACTGGCCTCACAACCACAGACCACATGTAACCCGCCAGCCCAGGACCTCCTATTCCAGCTTCTTCACCTGCGGGATCGTCTAAGAACAGCCACCCGGACAGCTGATAAAACAGGATAATTTCTGTCTGTAATAAAGCTCTTGTCACGGTTTCGGCCGAGGCTGCTCCTCCTCCTGGTTCGGGCAGGCTTCGGCGGTCGTCATCCCCGGAGTACTAGCTGCCACCGATCTATTTTTCATGTTCGTTTGGTTTTGTCTTGATGTTGTACACCTGTGTCTTGTTAGTCCTTGTTAGTGTCCTATTTAGTTCTCGTTGTGTGTGTTTGTCTTTGTGTGTGATTGCTCTTCTGTTTCGTGTTGGAGCTACGTACTTCCCTCCAGTGTTTTGGAGAGGTTTTTCGCACATGTTAGTGCGCCGTTTGTTTGACGCCTGTGTGCGCCGTTATTTCGCCTTCAGGCTTATTGTGCTCATTTTCTACGTGAATATTGCACTAAAGTCTTTTGGACTGAGCTTCTGCATCCTGCGCTTGATTCATGCACCACACCCACCTTCAGCACCCCTTGACAGAATTACACACCAAAATGGAATCAGCAGGATCTGCAGTTACGCCTGAGTCGCTCGAGGAGCATGTTCGCGGCCAAGATGACCAGATACGACAACTGGGGACCGCTCTACAGGACGTCATCAACACCCTGCACCGATGGGAGGCCAGCGGGGTACCCACACCTCCACCTACCCTGCCAACCCCATCGGCCGGTCCACCAGTCCCAGGTCCGGAATCCAGGGGGACTCGGCTCTCGCTCCCGAGGGTGTATGACGGAACAGCTGCCGGGTGTCAGGGGTTCCTCCTGCAGGTGGAGCTCTACCTGGTCACTGTACACCCGGTGCCCTCGGGACACGAGAGCGTTTCCACCCTCATCTCCTGTCTCACGGGCAAGGCGTTGGAGTGGGCTAACGCCGAGTGGAGGAAGATGGACGCCAACACCATCTCCTACGCCGAGTTCTCGCGGGGGAGCGTCTAGTCCACCTGAGACAGGGGAGGAGGAGCGCACAGGCGTTTGCTCTAGAGTTCCGGACTCTAGTGGCGGACGCAGGGTGGAATGAACGGGCCCTCATCGACCATTTTCGATGTAGCCTACGGGAGGACGTTCAACGTGAGTTGGCCTGCAGGGATACCCATCACACCTTCGACCAGTTGGTCGATATGTCCATCCGTCTGGACACCCTGCTGGCCACCCATGGACGTCCCGAGGGGGGTCCGTCCATTCCGCCCTCCGGCACCTCCGAGCCGAGCCCTATGGAGCTCGGGGGTGCCGGCGCTGGAGAAAGGAGGAGGAGGAGCCCGAGGGGGCCTGTCTCCTGCACCAAGTGCGGTCGTGGAGGGCACACTGCGGCCAGGTGCTGGGGAGGGTTCTCCGGGGGAGAAGACAACAGGCCACGCACTGGGGGGGGCCTCCCAGGTGAGTAGACGTCCCACTTACTCAGAGCTTTCTGTTGCGCACTTTTGTATACCTGTGTGTTTTCCACAGGTTGCACCTCATTCCCAGCATAAGGCGCTAGTAGATTCAGGCGCAGCTGGGAATTTTGTTGATCGGAAGTTTTGTTTAGATTTAGGGATCCCTCTCCTACCTGTTGACAAACCTTTTCCCGTTCATGCCTTAGATAGCCGCCCGTTGGGGTCGGGGTTGATTAGGGAGATCACAGCACCACTTAGGATGTGTGCGCAGGGGGGTCATGAAGAGACTATACAGCTGTATCTGATCGACTCTCCTGCGTACCCAGTGGTGCTGGGAATTCCCTGGTTAAGCACCCATAACCCTGCTATTTCGTGGCAACAGAGGGCTCTCGATGGGTGGTCTGCTCAGTGCGAGGGGCGATGTCTGGGTGTTTCCGTGGGGGCGACTTCGGTGGAAAGTCCAAACCAAGTGCCCGCACTGCACATTCCGCCTGAATATGGGGATTTAGCTCTCGTGTTTAGTAAAACTAGGGCGACGCAGTTGCCTCCTCATAGACAGGGGGATTGTGCGATTGATCTCCAGGCAGGAGCAGCACTCCCACGGAGCCACGTGTATCCTTTGTCTCAAGAGGAGAGAAAAGCTATGGAGACTTACATAGCCGAATCTTTGAGACAGGGATACATTCGGCCCTCCACTTCTCCCGCCTCCTCGAGTTTCTTTTTTGTGAAGAAGAAAGATGGAGGGTTGCGCCCGTGCATTGATTACCATGGTCTCAATCAGATTACTGTGAAATACAGTTATCCACTCCCTCTGATTGCGACCATGACAGAGTCATTGCATGGAGCGCGGTTTTTTCACAAAATTGGATCTCAGGAGCGCGTATAACTTGGTGCGCATTAGGGAGGGCGACGAATGGAAGACAGCTTTTAGTACCACGTCAGGTCATTTCGAATATCTCGTCATGCCATATGGGTTGATGAATGCTCCATCAGTCTTCCAATCCTTCGTAGATGACATTTTCCGGGATATGCAGGGACAAGGGGTGGTCGTGTACATTGATGACATTCTGATGTACTCGTCTACCCGAGCCTAGCATATAACCCTGGTGCGTCGTGTATTGAGGAGGCTGTTGGAGCACGACCTATATGGCAAGGCAGAGAAATTTCTGTTTTTCCAGGAGTCGGTCTCCTTTTTGGGTTATCGGTTGTCCGCGTCAGGGGTGAGAATGGAGGTGGATCGTGTGTCCGCTGTGCGTAATTGGCAAACTCCAACCACTGTAAAAGAGGTGCAGCAGTTCTTGGGCTTTGCGAATTACTACCGGAGGTTTATCCGGGGTTTTGGACAGGTGGCAGCTCCCATCACGTCCCTTCTGAAAGGGGGTCCAGTGCGCCTGCAGTGGTCAGCTGAGGCGGACAGGGCCTTTAGGAGACTGAAGGACCTGTTTACGTTGGCTCCGGTGCTGGCGCATCCGGATCCCGCATTACCCTTTCAGGTTGAGGTAGACGCGTCTGAGGCTGGTATAGGGGCCGTTCTCTCTCAACGGTCCGGCACGCCACCTAAACTCCGCCCCTGTGCTTTTTACTCAAAAAAGCTCAGCCCGGCGGAGCGTAACTATGACATTGGGGACAGGGAGCTGTTAGCTGTAGTTCAAGGCCTTAAGGTGTGGAGGCATTGGCTTGAGGGGGCTCAACACCCTTTCCTCATTTTGACTGACCATCGGAACCTGGAGTACATCCGGGCAGCGAGGAGACTGAACCCTCGCCAGGCTCGATGGAGTATGTTTCTCACCAGGTTCGTATTTAAAATCACGTACAACCCTGGGT